GTGCCTCTTGCTCCAGCATTTATCACGGCTGTAATATTAACTGAATGGTCAGTTGATTAATGTCTATCTTGCCATTAGACCCTACGTCCCTGAAGGCAGGGAACATGTTCCCCTGAAACAACACAGAGAGATTCCATGCTTTGGTCTTTCCTGCTTAGAAGGGTCCTGGTAGGACTGGTTCTTGCTGCAAGAGGTAGCAAGGATATTAAGGCCATTATGAAAGGTATGTAAAAGTTTGATGCTAGCAATGCACTTGTGGAAAAGTCTTGATATCAACAAGTGACACTTCTGATGTAGCCAAGAACCATCTGGGAAAATGTTAAAAACCTAAATTCACTTGACGTTAAGTAAAATATAGACATTAAGAAAAAATAAGTAAAAATAGATAGTGCTTAAAATATATATACATATCTTCTGTCACTTCTCTTGGACATTCTTAGCAAAGTCATGCTTCCATAATTCTATTGCAAACACAAAAACTTAATTCAGTACTGGGCCATGCAGCATTGTTGCTCAATGTGTGGTCTGCAGGTCTTCCTTATTTTTGGTTCTGTAAAAATGCAGATTCCTGAGCGCCACTCCAGGCCCTCCAAATCAGAGACTCTAGATGAGGGTAAGGCGAATTCTAAGGACCTCGCATTCAAACAAATAACCCAGTTGATTTGGATGTGCAGTGAAATTTGAGTCAATGGCAAAATAAAATAGAGGAAGAACATAACTGTATGACCACACGGTCCATTTATGCTAGACCTTAAAGATGTTTCTATTGCCTTTGTGTTTCTAGAAGGGACACAAATCACACTGTTGTGCAGACCTCATACCATTAATTAAAGTTCAGTAAGGCAGTACTTATTCTTAAGATTGAATGTGTAGAATGAAAAATAAATTATACACAAAATACAGCATATTCTTTTCAGTGTACTTACCAGGTGTGCTGAGAAGACCTGATGGGGAAACTATAAAGGAATAAAAGAAAAATCAGACACGCGTGTGGTTCATCCACAGGGATCCTGACCGAGAAATCCACCTTTGGACCCTTGCTTTTCTTACACTTGACTCTGAAATAGAGACATAGCAACTTCACGGGTATCAATGTCAACAGATCTATAACCAGTTTTTGAAATTTAATTCAAACCGATAAAGATTTCTGGAGTCTCTCGTGTGTGCACCACAACATGCCAAACTAGTCCCAGAAAATGTGGTGATTATAAAAAAGGGCTCTTGATACCTTAAAAACAAGTTCAATGAAACAACACCCTTTAAGATTTTGTGCATTTGTTTCTGCACATTTCCTGTTGCAGATATTTGCTTATTTCAGTAAAATAGAAATTAACCTTTCATCACTGTAGAAAAACAAATTATGCTTGTGCAAAAATGCGGACCCATTGCTTTTCTTATTTATTTGAGAAAAGTTAGCCTAAGCAGCTTGTCTTAAAAGGCATGAGGAGTTGAGGTTGAGGGCTTTGATTTAATTTAGCAGTTCTCAACTAACTGAATGGAATGGCTAAAAGCACAGATTAGTAACTCTTTGGTCATTTAGCCCAAAAAGTTAAGTGATTTTGTGTTGACAGAGACAGTGGGAGATAAAAATGTCTCTCCTTTCCCATAAGATGACAGAGATGATATTTACTGAGACTTACTAGCCTTCATAGGATTATTGGGAGAATTAAATGAGAAAATCCAGATAAAACGCTTATTGCCCGGACTGGTACATGGTCAGCAACCCAACAATGTAGCTACTTCGGCAATGAGATTATGATGATCACTATGATTATACAATTTCAATCACTCGTTGTCTTAAGTATTTCATTATCTCATTTGGTCCTCATGGCAACCCATGATGGAAGGGTTCCCTTATATTAAGAGAAGTAAAGTGAAGCACTTAGAGGTAAAATAAGTTGCCCAAGGTACCACTTTTATTTCCATTTTCCTGACAGAAACATCAAAGTTGGAGAAGGATAGGCATCCTTACTATTGTGCCTCTGCCCTGTGCTGCATCATTTGTACTACCTCTTGGAGGCCCACCTGAGCAGATGACGCTGGCATCTTCCCCGTGGCCGCAGTTGTGCGAGAGCCAGCCGTTGTGGGGACAGCTCCACAGGTAGGACTCGTTTCCAGAGCAGCCCACATTGTCCAAGACAATAGGCCCTGAGCCCTGACCAAAGCGGGCACTTCCTGGCGTTGACAGAGCTGGGCCACAGTCGAGCTGCCTGCACACCACGTTGGCATCATTGGTGTCCCAGCCGTCGTCACACACGGTGCCCCACGAGCCCCGGTACAGGACCTCCACCCGGCCCTGACACCGGTCCACTCCGTTCACCAGCCTCAAGGCCACATCTAGAGGAAAGCACAGAGATTTCACTGTCTGTCCCTTCTGAGGGACAAGATGCCCGGCCTGTGTGAGATGCAGAGCCCTTCACAGTGAGCGGGGATCCAGAAAAGACTGGACAATCAAACGGAGTCCTCACCCTGTTTCTGTGTTTGAAATTAAGAAGCTAAAGATTCTGCCTCTTCAGTGGAGTTTGGGCAACCTGTATCCTGAGGGGCTTTCGTGGTGACATCACTTTCAG